GACATGGTGCTGTATAGTTGGATATTCAGGCAAAAGCGATGGGTGTTTATTCCGCCTATATAACCGCCATAGACGTATCATTTCTGTCATACGCTCACGGAGGCGCCTTGGTTGCCTCGTCCGCATGACCAGTGCACGGAGAATTATTATGTCACAGGAAAGATGCAGCGTGCACACAAATTAACCGGTATCCAGTTCGGCTTCACAAGTATAATTAAGTGAGGTTCTTCGCAGTCAGTTTCCAAATCACATAGTCGTCCACATGCCCGGAAAAGCAGTGGAGGATAAGACGCGCTATATCGCAGTTAGCTTGTAAATCACGACGGTCCGAAGCTGTCCCCCGTGGCCCAGTGGCATAAGCTGCTGACTGGCGGTTCAATCCGCTGGTGGTCATGGGTTCGAATCCTGATGGATCCGATGGATGCGCACTACTGATGATGCCAAACAGGCTGAAACTGCAGTCTAGTGCTTTTCCGGGCATGTAGACGACTATGTGATTTGGAAACTGACTGCGAAGAACCTCACTTAATTACATCCAAATCCCCTACTCATGAGTACATTCACAAGTATAAGCTTACGTATGCGCAACAGAGGAACATTACTATTGCCAGTAGCACGAGAAGCCTCAATGAGTGGTTGTTTTCTTAGTCCATGTACGTCCCAAAGCACTTACATCTATAGTGCCAATAGCGAAGTCGAAAACGTACGCTCCACATGCCTACATGATCTATTTGTATTTAACCTATATTGGTTCCATATTATCTGTTTCAATATGGCAACTAAGATATCGGTTATTGTGGAATTCACAGGTGTTCGCGATCGGCGTTTATTGAGCCCATGCTGGCGGCACAGCGGTGTCTTCAGGGCCGTGGCAAAGAATACATACTTTGAGCTTCACACACCTCCACGAACATTGATTGATGGACCCATATAAGTTCTTCGGCAGCTGTACCAATGTCGCTGCTATGGATGTAGCAGCTGTTAGCTTTACATGCCTTCCAGACGGGCTTATGTAGGTTCTAAACTAGCGGCATCAAAATGACTACTGTCAATTTATCTACTGCAAAAATTCGCGTCTCCACCAGGGGTATTGTTTAAGGGAATGTAGATTCCATATCGATCGTCATTATCGCTAAGCGCAAAGCCGTTGACATGGGCTAATGTGGTGCTTCAAGCAGCGTAGTTGAAACGTGTCTTATAAATGCCAATTTAAAAGGCGTACGAGGGTCACACGGATTTTACTTCTGTGGATCTTGGAACGCAAATCTTTGACATTCGTTTCGCTGCATAATCACCGAAATATGGCATCAAATGCAACGCGGACGTTTGTACCGATTCCAAATGTTGACGTCATTATGGGAGCGTAATCGTCGCTCTGGACCCATAAAGCGCAAGCACTGATGAACTGTATATTGCAACTTGTGCCTCAAACACACAGGAAAACTGTATTCATAGATAAACCGCAAGGTTGACTTACAGGTTCAAGTTTTACCGATGTTGCGCACACCCAGGCAGGCAGGGTGGATATTTCACAACAAATATGTCCAGGAGATGATTACTTGTAAAGAAAAAAGAGCCTTCGGTGCGTTGCGAAGCAGACGAGCAGGTTGCATTGCTGTGCCCCATCGCAATCTTAAACGAGTTTTCATATGGACGAGTTCAACATAGAATAGGAAAAATGACCATAAGTGCGGAACATGTGGTCAGGCAAGGTCACCTAAATTTGCTTTTCGAATTGAAATAGTGTTCATTTATGCCATACGTCATTGCTGCTGTCCTCTAGGTTGCGGAATCCGGAAGATGTACTTCACAACAATAAACCTAGACTTCGTAAGGGTGCGTACCGAGGGTGAGGACGCATTACTGCAATATGTATGAAAGATGATGGTGGTCACCAATGAGGGAATTACACAGGTATCAGAAAGAAACATTAAAGTGTCACATAATAACGAAAGTATGCCAGAATTGGGTAATCTAAGTACCTGAGCAAATTGTAGTAATGACTTATAACGTTCAAACCCTTCACAAATATTCCCGACCTTGCGGGTGAGTGTGTAAATCGCTCGTAACCCAAATGCCACTGAGAAATTGTTGGTATCCCGTGGCAAGAGAAGCATCACGCACTCTGAGATATATTTGCCCTACCAACCAAGGAATGCAGGCGGCACATGTCTACTGGCGGTTTAAAAGCCAGGTCAATATATAATGTGCAAGTACCTGCAGTGATGCGGTCGACAGGCGCTATGGATCATTGTAGGTAAAAGCCATTTGGTATCCAAATGGCATGCAGGTTTGCATCCCAAGCAGTAGACAAAGGTGTGCGATCCGACTAGTCGCCTCGTTCGAAGCTTTGAAGTCAAGCATAGCTATTAGTTGTCTGCTTGTCACCAATGCATACACCCCACACACGTTGGGAATGAAGGCCATTACTTCGAACTTGGCCTCGGGTAAAGACTCGGCGTCCAGCTTGGAGAGCCATATATATATATCTACCCCGGGGGGACGAGTATTTGCCATTCGACTAACAGCGCACGCAAGCTACTGACAAGTCTGGTCGCTAGTATAGCTAGGTCAGGTCAAGTTCCGTGTACGGTACAGGCCTCAGCCTAACGAGGGTCACGTTCCTTGAATAGGAAGGCGAGCAAGCGCCCCACGGTCCTTCCACTTTTAAATTATATACCATGTCCACGAGGAAGTCAAAGAATTTAGCATAGGTCCAAAGGGATACGTTTTGTACCGTCATAAACCCAGTGGACTAATTAACGAACTGTAGCAGGGAGGCATGCAAGGCTAGATAGAAAAGATCATTAGCAAAACAATTTGAAATAGCATGACAGAAATTTTGCCAGTCCAGGTGGGAGCGAATAAAGATTCCATCCACTAAACACCTATTCGTCTAATGTTTACGGATAAACTAAATTAAACCATCCAAAGCCTAATCGGGGCTTCTATCTACTAACACCATCTTACGTTGCCCCCGGATGAAATATTAAAAGAATCTGCACGTGCGCAACTTTTAAGTCGTAAAGACAGTATAGGCTGAATTGAGGTACAAAGCAACGCCACCTCCGCGACGACCGAAGGCGCCGTCACAACATCATTAAAAATATCATCACTATACAGGTAAGGTAGCAGTAGGAAATAGCTCAGCTAATGTGCCGCATTACCTAAAATGAAAAGGGAATAAACTGAAACAGGTGCAAGCCACCTGGGTTAACGGTAACGAATAGGCTTTCTTATATCACCTGATGTTAGGGGTCAAGTTTTCCAATCTTACAGTACGGTCGAACGTACGGCTCTATTGTACACTGTATCCTTCGGGGACAGAGAAATGTCGCGCCGGCGACATAAGTGGCGAAGGATACCAAACGCGCCCCTATCATTGGCCATACAGTTCGTGTTGTGGCTTTTACGCCCTTGGGCGCTGATACAAATCATCAGCTAGTGGAATTTTGGAGCGATTTCTAGCTGATCCGCAACAAACGTCAGCGCAGGAGGCGCTATATGCCACTGTTGTTGGGAAGCTTAACACTTCCAGGGGGCAAAGTAACGTCCCAATTGACGGACAGCCAGTGCTGGTCGCTTCAGTGGCGCTTGGCACATTTGTGTACTGTTAAAGATTAGGGACATACCGTCAGCATACTGCAAATCAAGAATCCTTCTCCTGGATGCAGGTCCACACCTACTACGTTGTGTCCTGAGAAGGCGAGCACCATGACTTTCTCAATACCGAAGTTGAAAAGGAAGGGGGCAGCTGCCATTATTGTCTCACAACGCTGGAAAATTTAAATAGGCAATGACCGCTTGTTGTAAGCCACCACCCTTCTTGAGCTGTGCGACCATAATGCTAAGATCATATTTCCACGGGTATCAGGCAGTCCATAAAGGATTACGGGTACAAGAAAGTCGGCTTTTACCGAATCGTTGACGGTTTGTTGGTGCAAAAACAGCGATAACTAGTCGACACCTGTTATTCATACGCGACTTTGAAGCTTTGAACGAGTCAGTCAATCAGACCGCACACAGCCGGATACTGCTTGGGAACCCGTCAATCAGAGCAGGTGCAGCCCAGGGACTCAGGGCAATACCAACACCGGCTTGACCGGTGCTCAGTGCTGTATCGTCACCGGACAGATGCAATGACAAAGTGACGCCGGTGTCACATGAAGGGTATCACGAATTGTACACAGAGTATCAATCATGCAGGCTGAGCTCCGATTATCCGCAGAGTATCATGGGGTTCATCCTTGTAGATAGCAGAATAGAATACCCGTGTCAACTCCACTACTTCCGTGCAATGGCTAGATGATACGTGATTGCTTATGTGTGTTCTCCGAGGGATTATTACAGCTGCACCAAAGACAGCGGAATCAATATATGCTCAGCAAATGCTTATTCATTCCTCTCTGGGAACGTACCACATATTTAGGGTATTAACAATTGGCGCACTGCTTCTTGCCGACAGATCTCTAGTAATGTGCATACCTTATGGCACGTTAATCTGCAGGATGATTGTGAGCTCCAAATAAAAGCCAATTAACTTGGAGGTTTGCTTAGACAAGTGTTTGTCAACAGGACAGGAATGAAGCCAAACGTTGACATGTGCTTTGAAACTAAAAGCAAAATTCTTATCAACAGGACCGTAAGAGTAAAAAATTAGAAAATAAGATGCTGGGCTTGAGCGGTAACATCAATACCTTAACCATCCTGCTCGATTCAGCAACTATGGCACGGTTGCTTATCTTCTGCGGTTGCCAGCGCATCATGAATTGTTCGAAGAGCTATTCATTGTATTGGTTGAGCAATGTATTATCAGGTTGCTAAGGCTTAGACAGTAGAACGATTACGGTCTCCAGCCAGAGCTTTTGGATCAAAGACCTGACCGTAACGCATGGGTACTGCCTTGGGTTAAAGGAGTCCGTTTTAGGAATATCGAGCCGCCTCATTTAAACCCCACAACCCGGAGGACCAGGAGGCTGAGTTTAGCTGGACCCTACCCAATGACCAATCTGGTATGAGTGGCACTGAAATTGAAAAAGCATTCCTCAGCATAGCTCAGTGGATCTCTGAAACACGCGGGCTATCGCATCACCGTAAGTTCCAGATAGGGGTTGTGTGAAAGGGGGGGGGGGTAGTATTAGGGGGGGTGGGGGGGGGGGGGGGGGGGGGGGGGGGGGGGGGGGGTTGGGGGGGGTGGGGGGGAGGTATGGGGGTGGGGGGGGGGGGGGGGGGGGGGGGGTTTTTTGGGGGGGGGGGGGGGTTTGTTGTGGTGTGGTGTGTGGGGGGGGGGGGGGGGGGGGGGGGGGGGGGGGGGGGGGGGGGGGGGGGGGGGGGGGGGGGGGGGGGGGGGGGGGGGGGGGGGGGTGGTTTGGGGGGGGGGGGGGGGGGGGGGGGGGGGGGGGGGGGGGGGGGGGGGGGGGGGGGGGGGGGGGGGGGGGGGGGGGTGGGGGGGGGGGGGGGGGGGGGGGGGGGGGGGGGGGGGGGGGGGGGGGGGGGGGGGGGGGGGGGGGGGGGGGGGGGGGGGGGGTGGTTGGTGGTTGTGTTGGGGTGTTGTTGTTGGTGTGGTGGGGGGGGGGGTTGTTGTGTGTTGGGTGTTGGGTGGTGGGGGTGGGGGGGGGGGGTGGGGGGGGGTGGGGGGGGGGGGGGGGGTGGTGGGGGGGGGGGGGTGGGGGGTGGGGGGGGGGGTGGGGGTGGGGGGGTGGGGGGGGGGGGGGTTGGGGGGGGGGGGGGGGGTGGGGGGGGGGGGTGGGGGGGGTGGGGGGGGTGGGGGTGGGGGGGGGGTGGGGGGTGGGTGGGGGGGGGCGGGGGGGGGGGGGGGGGGGTGGGGGGGGGGGGGTGGGGGTGGTGGGGGTGGGGGGGGTGGGGGTGGGGGTGGGGGGGGGGGGGGGGGGGGTGGGGGGGGGTGGGGGGGGGGTGGGGGGGGGGGGGGGGTGTGTGGGGTGGGGTGGGGGGGGGGGGGGCGGGTGGGGTTGTGGTGGGGGGTGGTGTGGGTGGGGGGGGGGGGGGGGGGGGGGTGTGGGGTGGTGGTGTTGGATTAAGGGGTTTTTTTGGGTGGATGGGTGTTTGTTGGGTTGTGTTGTATTAAAAAAGTAGTAAGAATAAGAGGATGGGGGGGGTTGCCTATTATGTTGACCCAATTACGCTTGGATATTGGGAGGTAAACCGAGCTGCTTCCATAGCTGACAGACGGATCAAACGCGGTATCTGACGGTTCGTTGTCAACAGTGTTGTGTCTAAATGGTGTACTGATAGTAGACGGTGAGCAAAAGAACGCAGGGTCTGACAACATGCAAGTATCTCCACTGCCTAATATTGGAGACCTAAGCAGTCCAGAAACTTAACCAAGCAATCACTTTTGCTGTCATTCCAACAAAGCAGACATCAGTCTCTACAATGACATCGTAAAGCTGGTTGCTGGCGTGTAAGACTCAGTGCCATGCACACAGCAACCAACACAAAGGCGCGGTATTAGCTCTCTACTGGCCATACGGGCATACTGCATCAGATGCAAAGCAGTGCACTCCACATGGAACCAATGGCAACAAACTGCGCATTGCAGCTCACCCGTTGAAGACTGTAACCAATCTGAGACATTAGCTTTGCCACATTTAACAAACTAGTTTTTTGAAGGAGGACTTAAATAGTTAGGACTACACTTACAACCATCTCGAAAGAATGGTTAGAAAAGCAAATAAATGTAAGGGATAAAAAACCGTTGTGAACCGGTTTACGGTAAAAACGGTTGAAAATCGACGAGAGGGCCAGTCGGAAGTATCAAGTTTCCACATATGTATTAAAATGGACTCACCAAAGCTTAAGGGGCGAAACAAGGTGGACGTAACCTCCAAGCATGTGAAGACAGGTTCTTTGCGAAACAGCAGAGGCAAAACCACCAAGAAACCGACGGCATGCAAAAAAGTTCCACCGAAATGATCAACACACAAAAAGCAAGTTAAATGCGCCTTCTGCAATTGAATTGTGGCGCGCAAGCGACGGTCACCTGGTTAACGTACAGTTATCAAAAGACGAGTAACCATCTAATGCTGCAAAAACCACTAAGTCAGAACAAAATATCCAGGGACAAAGTAAGCTTTATCTTAAACGGCGTCCCGTTTCAAGTTCCAATAAGCGCGATCAGCTTCAACCACGAAGATTTAATACTCGACGTTTGCCTTGACAAAAAATAAAAATAGAGTAGCAATATTTTCACTGCATGTTCATGTGTTTTCATACGCTTTTTTATGTAGTTAAAGGCCGCAATGATTATGCACCAGAAAACGAAAAACACGGCCGACCAGCTTTCGCTCAGGCGTCGTTGAAGCTCACCCCTGTTTTCATTGGTTCAATGTGTAGTAGAGAGCCGAAGTGCGGTCCCGTGTTGGCTCCATTGCTTCCTGATGATCGTTGGGAAGCTCTTTGTTGCTAATCGGAAACTCCGAAGAGGCCATCGCACTCCAAGCTGAAGCAACACGATCCCGGCATATCCAGCAGGTGCAAATCAAGTAGTTGTATTAGGCAAATCCTCCGTCTGTGTATAAAGGGGAAGCGGCTTTAACCGGTTCTATTTTTTTACAACGCGAGTTGGTATAGCAAGAGCGGAACGTATTTTTAGCCTCAGAGGTTTGAATAGATTCCATCGGTGGCCTCTGGTTGAACTCACAATATTGAGGTGGAAGAATTCTTGCAAATCTGCCCCATCTCCCACTGAGGATACGACCGTTAAAAATCATGTCTTCACGCCGGCGACGGTAATTCACAGAAAACATATTCTAATGTCGAAGCCGAAGGCGATACGCCAAGTTACGTACCTCGGAGACAAAATTCGACCCCCGCCGTTGGACCTTTTCGTTAAAGTTCCGCTAACATTTGGACAGCGTACAGGCAGCAGAGTGGCCGTAGTCTAGAATGGGGCACACATGCGAGGTGAACAGGAGTCTAAAATTTCCCGTGTTAAGCGACAGAAGGCTCTTCGGATGGCGTAAAACGTCCTGTGTGCAGCGGCAAATATCTCCATGGTATCTTGTCTGGACCATAACTCTGGGGAAGCAAGCACACCCAGAACTCTCTGAAGTGGCATTTTTGAACAGGAAACCAAAAATGTGTTAAGCGCCGAATGTTTCAGAAGCGCTGATAGGCAGGACGGAACATTTATCTTGATTAATTGGTAAGGGTCACTGAATCAACTAATTGGGCAGGAGATCTAGCGTCTCCTGTAGTCGATAAGCATAATCTAGAGTTGATACCTACTTCCATAGTTTTAGATCATTATCATCGTCATCATACACGTTAGCTAGAGGTGGGAACACCTCAGCTTCTGTGCCGCAATACATGGAAAAAGGAGAAATAAATGCAACTGGTGCAAGCTGGTTGAGCCACCGGTAACGAATGCGCATCGTTTCGGTAAGCTACCAGCCGGCTGCTGTGCACCAAAATAATTACTATGCAAAATTATATCCGCTAAATGATGAGATTGTGGTTGAAGTAGAGGCTAAGAGCGATGGGCTGGGTTAAAGAAACTCAAAGCACGAACGCCCCTGAGGTCTACTCCTAGCCATATCAGCAGGTGTGTCCTGCCAAACGTGTTCATCTATTTAGGACCCCAACCAGGAAGCTAAGACGCTCCAACCAAGGCCAGCTCAGAAGTGAGTGCCTTAATCCATTTCGACCAATTCATCGCTTGGCCACCCCTCATCTTCTTACATCCACACCCCAGGCGCGCAAGCAACACACGTCGCGAAAGTCGGTGGGCTGGCATGCGTAAGACGTGGCCGAGCCATAGGAGCCTGATGCGTGAAATAACGGTGCTGTGCGGTTCAGTTCCTTTTGTTGTGCCGTAAACAAGGCGTCGAAAACGCTCGTTGCTCACGCGGTGTTCCCACCAGATGTGAGCTAAATTACGAAGGCACCGGTGGTCGAACGTAACTAACCTCTTCAAGTCCGCTGCTTTAAGCGGCCAGGTTTCACAACCGTACAGAAGGGTCGAACGTACCGCTGCATTGTACACTCCACTCTTCAGGGCAAGAGTGATGTCGTGCCGGCGCCATAAGTGGCGAATGTTAGCAAAAGCGCCCCGAACTTTTGCTACACGATTCGTGATTTCATCTTTGATCCCACGGGCGCTGATACAACTTCCCAGCTAGTTGAATTTTTGAACGACTTCTGGCTGATCCCCACCAAGAGTCAGCGAAAGAGGTGATCCCAGCCAATCTTGAAGGAACGCTTTGCACTTCAGGGGAGCGAAGCAAATTCCGAAGTGACAGACAGATAGTGCTAATCTGTCCAGTGCCGCTTGGCACGTATGTGAGTTGTCACAGAGCAGGGCAATATCATCAGCATACTCTAAGTCAAAAAGACATTCTCCTGGGGGTAGCTCCACCCCTTCTAAGTCGTGTCCTGTGAACGCGATTTGTATGACTTCGTCAACAGGGAAGTTGAAGAGGAAAGGTGACAACAGGCATCCTTGTCTCACACCGCTGGATATATTAAAGGGCGACGACAACTTGCCGTAATCCCTCACTCTGCCCGATCTACGCGCATATAATGCTTAGATAATGTTCACATATTGCTCAGGTTTAACTTTCCTGAGTAGACACTCCCAAAGCGCTTGATTATCGACCGAATCGAATGCACCTTTGTTATCGAAGAACACGACAATGTTGGGCCGCCAGTATGTGTGACGGAGTTCCCACAACTGACGCAAACTGAAGATGTGGTCAATACAGCCACGACGTCGACGAAATTCAGCTTGCTCTTCACGAAACTGGCTTTCACGAATTTCAGTCAGTCTGTAAAGGATGCCAGAGACAAGCAATTTGAAGGCGATGGAGTTCAGACTGATTCCTCAATGGCTGCCGCATTCCGTTCGTGAGCCCCCTTTGACAATTGGGACTACGATGGAGCGGTTCCAATCGGTTGGGATAGTTTCCTGCTCCCATAGTTTGACTAGTATCTCGTGTAACTCATCCACAAGAGCAGGTCCCCCGAATTTGAAGAAGGCTGGAGGAAGGTCATCAGGTCCCGCGGCTTTATCTAACTTCAACAGTTCGATCTCATGTTCGACTTCTGAGCGAGAGAGTGGATCCAAATTAACAGCCCACTGGTAGGCGAGAAATCTAAAAATTCCGACCGATTAAATTGCTTTTCAAAGCGCTCAGCTCATCGTTTCAAGCGTTTGATAAGTTGTGAATAGGCAGTCCACTTTCGTCACAAATTGTTTCACTAACACCAGGTCTCCGGATGCCCGTTTCCCGTATCAGACGGAATAACTTACGATGGTTACAAAGAGCAGTGGCCATTTCCATCTCTGTTGCACGGTGAGACCACCAGGATTCGCGGTCTGTCTTCAGGCTAGCACGGAGTTTCGCCCGGAGCTCTTTGCGAGTTTCATTGTTTTCGCTTCCAGCCGAAATATGCCGGCGAGCAACCATAAGTTCCAGAGACTGTGAAGAGACCCAATGTACATGTTGGAAATTAGATACACTACATGAGGATTTTCCTGCTGCAAGTAAGGTCTGGTGAATATGAGAACAGTGAGCTTCAATTGCATTCAGTGAGCGTTTATCCAACTCACATGACAGCGTAATTTGAGAGCCATTCAGAACAGCTGGCTTCGCCAGTTGGTCGGTGTTAATGCGCTCACAACATCATCGTGGGCGTTCGCCAAAGCGCATCCGCAGGTCAGCACATACAAGTGCATGGTCGGTGTCAACACCTGTGCTCCGAATCGAGCGACAGTTCTGGAAGCAGCCTCTCCAGCGGTAACTGATAGCAATGTGATCGATTGCGTCCATAGCTGGTTAGGGGCTTGTAGACGCCAAGTCACCCTCCGGCGAATGCTGTGTCGGAAATTAGTGCTCGCAAGAAATAAGCGAGCATCCTTACAAAAATGTAGTAACCGCCCACCGTTATCATTACGGGAACCTATTCCATGTTGGCTGCCCAGATGCAACTCGTCTGTGGATAATTTTTCAACTTGAGCGTTTAGATCCCCGACCAACACTACAGTGTCCGAGCTTTTTCTGTGGCTAAGGAGCTCGTTCAGTTGACGATAGAAGTCGTCTTTTACCGAGTCAACGCTACTGTTTG